CGATCTGAAGGATATAAGCCACCGGTGTCTGAGGAAAAGTACTAAACTAAATAAAACAAACCAGTTATCTACAACATCCGTGAATAACGAAAATAAACTATGTACATAAACAACGACATATTTACATGAAATGACTTCTTCATAATCTTATCTCTCAATAAAAGGAGTGAAGGTAAATCCTTCATTTAGTACATTAGGGGCCAAAGTTCTGAACCTATATATCCAGTATGATTCTCGTTTGAGGAGGGTAAAATCCAAGTCACCTCCTCTACGTCCCAAAGTCACCTTTTCAATCCCTGCAAATCTAACATCTCCTGGATCTCCCTGATGGTGGTTTCTTATGTGTCTTGCCACTGGGGTATCCTTCAAGTTTTTGGCAGAGTGTATATGTTCCATAACCCTCCTTTTCAGGGGACGGATCGTTTTACCCACGTATCTGAGACCACACTTACAGATCAAAAGATAAATCAGACCTTTAGTGTTGCAGTTAAAAAACTGTTTGACATTGCACACAATTTGTCCACTTGAATCAGTGAGGCTCTTAGAGTCCTTCTTCATATACCCGCAAGCTACACATTTGCCACATTTATATGTGCCTTGTACTGAGAGCCAACTGCTCCCTGGCCCTTTGGAGGAGAAATGGCTGGGTTTCTGCCTCTTCTAGCTGTAAGGGATACATAGGGGGTCACTGCCCCTTTAAGCTGCGGATCTTGGGATATGAGAGGCCAAAACCTCCCCAGTATCTTTTTCCCCTGATCCCAGCCAGAGTCAAAATTAACAATACAGCGAATAAGTTGGTTTGTCTTTTATGAGTTCCATCCTATCGCTGTATAGTGCTCTTTGATATGAATGTTTTAGACAACGATTAGGATAGCCTCTCTCCTTGAATCTAATTCTTAGGGACTTTGCCTGACGGGTAAACTCTTCCACAGTCGAACAGTTCCTCCTCAACCGCAGGTACTGTCGAACTGGGATACCTCTCTTTAAAGTTGTTGGATGGTGACTTTCCCACCTCAGCATAGTATTAGTAGAGGTGGGTTTCCTGTAAAGTGTGGTCTCAATGGTTTGATTAGACGTGATATTGAAGGTACAATCCAGGAAATTGAGAGAAAGTGCCCCAATTTCCATCGTGAACCTCAAATTGAGGTCATTGATGTTCAGTTTTTTCACAAATGTCGTGAAACATTCCCTCGTACCTGTCCAGATAACAATGACGTCGTCTATGTATCTTTTCCACATAAAAATGTGTTTTGTGTATACAGTATTAATGTCAGAAAAGACCACATTCTCTTCCCACCAACCCAGGTGCAGGTTAGCATACGATGGGGCACAAGATGTACCCATGGCTGTACCCTGCACCTGGTGGTAGTATTTGCCGTCAAATAGAAAGAAGTTATGGGTCAATACAAACTCTAGAAGGTCCAGTACAAAGGAAGTATGACGTCGATGTCTGGGCCCCCGTGTATCCAGATAGTATTTGGTGTGTTTTATTCCAAGGGAATGTGGGATTGACGAGTAGAGGGCCTCAACGTCCATACTGCAAAGTAAAGCATCGCTAGGTAACTTAATAGAGGCTAGGCATTCAAGTGTATCCTTAGTATCCCTAAGGTATGAAGGTAATTTTTCCACAAAAGGGCGAAGTATTTTGTCTATATATGACCCGGACACAATTGGTCTAGCCGTTAGGTGCTTATGTTGCTTATGTACCTTGGGTAAACAGTAGAATGTTGAGACCATTGGGTTCTTAACGTAGATGAATGCATATTCATCTTTTCCCAAAATTCCGTCATCAAATGCTGAGTCCAGTAATTTCTTTAGATCAATCAAAAAGTTCACTGAGGGGTCCCTAGGGAGTACTTTATATGTATTAACGTCCTCCAATATGTTAGCAGTCAGCTGAACATATTGTTGTCTGTTCAAAACCACAATGTTACCCCCCTTGTCTGCAGGTTTAATGATGATATCCTCATCATCCTGCAGATCGCAGAGGGCACGCCATTCAGTACTAGAGAGGTTACTATGTGGTCGAGGTTGTAAAGAGTCTACCCTCAACTTTTGTATCATATTACAAGTTGAGTCGACAAACATGTCTATGTTTTTGAAATCCTTGATATTAGGAGTAAAACGGCTTTTCTGTCGTAGGTCGGTATAGGGTTGGAGAATTGTGTCATCATTCTCATCTAGAAGCGACACTAAATCTTTGAGACATTGGTATTCCCTTATATTGAACCCCAAGTTCTTTGCTTTTTTCTCATTTTCAATAGCAAAGAATTTATGAAGGGCTAACCTTCTACCGAATAGGTGAATATCTTTCACCCATTTGAATCTGTTGAAGGAAGGGACAGGAACAAATGATAACCCCTTCATAAGTACGTGGTTTTGGGGTTCAGCAAGTGTCTTATTTGAGAGATTAACTACCTTAATGTTGGAGTTCAATAGCGTTTGCGTGCTCTCCCCCTGTATCTTGTTTGTCTGTGTTGTGATTGGTGTTCCCCCTCTCGGGGGTTTTGACCTAAAAAAGCTACTCCTTTCTTTAGGATACTTCTTGTTTGAATGGTGTTGGAAGATGTCTGTGATATATTAGTGCCCTCATTGTCAGTGTCAGAGGTCTCATATTCTGAGGTGGAACATTGATCTGAATCAACTCGTATGTTTCTCCTAAATCTTCTATACACCTTGTCATTCTTATAATCCTGGTTGTCCCTCAAAAACTTTTTATGCTTACGACTCTTGATAGAATCTTTATATTTATTCAAATTTTGTTGGAGTTTGAGTTCCCTGGAGTCAAAATTTGGATCATCTTTATGATTCTGGATAGCCTCTATTGCCTCTTTAACAGTATTGTTTACTTGGGCTAACCGCTGGCTCTCAAATCTGCAGATAATATCCATAAATGTGCGAGAACATAGATTAGCCGCTTCCTCCCATTCTTTTAGGAGGGCGGCATCCTCCATTTGAGTATTCGGCATAATTTGGACTCTAAGTCCTTTGTTGTTTACACACGTTAGATATATGTCTGAATTTGGAGTCAATGCTAGAGTCTTGAGAGATAAAGATGCTTTCTTTGTCTGTGAACACTTTGTCGGCGTCCAGACACCATTGGTTAGAATCCTTGAGCTGATTCAGAAAATTGGCCATTTTCAAAGAATAGAGAAGAAGTATATCAAAAGATACACATAGGTATTGAAACCTTGTATTTAGAAAAGACACAGGTTACCCCTACCCTTAGGGGTAACCAGTGTCTTTTCAATTTCAGTGCTTGCCACAGGCACTATCTTCTGTAGATATGCCTCTGCCTGTCCACAATGGGTTTAATGTTCGACATTGGGTATGGTTTAGGGCATATTTTAGGAGGGGCTTAAGCCTTCCTGTGTAGGAGGGCAAAATATATCCCCTTGGGTGAATCTACTGGTCATTTTTGGTATCTATCAATGACCCGGACATTATGATATATTGTCTTTTAGGTCACCTATTTATAAGAGGGTATATTAATTTTATGGTATTTTGAGACTACTATGGGTTTATACACTTTCTATGCCATTGAGTGGAGATTTTCAACTGTGCAGTAAAGCACTGTACTCATTTTTGTGGTGTGTAATTCAGACAGACTTGGAGTCAATATGTAGCCAGGTTTATAATGCTCTCCTACCGACATATTCTATTGCAGAATGGCAAATGAATATACCCCACCCAGTGCTTTCTATTCCAGAGGGTTACCTTACTAAAACAATTAACCCCTTCACTACCAAGCGTTTACATAAAAAGGGTTAAGTGTGAAGAGTGACTGTAACATGGTGACTGTGGGTGAGAGGTTGCTCTGACAGTAGCTATGATTTCACCAGTCTTGTGCCATTGACATCCAGATCATGCCTAGAAACCATTATACATCTTAAAGAACCACTCCACACCCCAAAAGCTTGCTGAGGTGCTTTATGGGTAAGGAATATCCAAGTACAACTTCAACTTATAAAGTGATGATTTCTATGAGAAATCTGCACTTTTATAAATTACCTATGGAGCACCTCCAGGCAGTCAATCAAACAGCCACGGAGCTCCTGTGAGCTAATGGAAATGGCAGGCGCACTCTACTAATTCAGAAGCCTTTGATTAGTTATTTTCCTGTGAAGAGACTGGAAGTCTTCTCTTCCAGGAAAAAAAAAATCATAAGATCTGCAGCCTTTGGAAGCTCTTTTAAGATAAGTCCCAATGAATATATGCATGAAAAGTATCTTCTTTTCTTTTTTTTTCCATTTAGGAATTACTATTAGTATATGTACTAACTAAACAATGCAAGATATGCTCACAGCTTTTTTTTTTTTAACTGTATTTAAAAAAAAAAAAAATGACAAGAACCAGTCAAATTGTCATATCATTTTAAAACTCTTTAATAATATTTAGGATCATATTTTGTACAGAACAAGATTATGTACCCACAGAACAAATATATACAGTGATATGTAACTATGTCCATTGGGTCGTATTACTGTGATTTGAAAACTCCACTCAGCTTAAAATGTGATACAAGTATCGATATAGATCATTTTTATACCAAATATATTACATACTTTGTTTTTGTCAAAACCTACCAATACATTACTGGTAAGTAGTTTTTGAGCAGTATATCATTGACAGAAGCTAAGTCCTCTTCCCACCCAACTCTAAATATTTTTAGTATATTTCTTTTGCATTAAAAAGTATTAGGTAAAGAACTATGAAACCCTCAAACTGCACGGTAGTGGAACTTTTATGTTCCCAAAGTACCGTACTTCATTCAGGAGTGAGCAATTGAGGAGGGGAAGCTCTGAGAACATGGTACAACTGATGATTAGGCTCTATAGTACTTAGGCATATGTCAAGACAGACAAAAATGGTTACTTTCTATGAGCCTGCCTCCAAGCCTGCTCACATGGCCCTCCCCTGAGTCCGTCTACATGGCCTGCCCCTAAGTCCTCCCACAGGCACCATCTTAAGGTCACCCACAAGAATGAAGTGTGTGTGTACTGAATTTGGTGTGTGTATAGTGGATGTAGTGTGTGTATAGTGAATGCAGAGTGTGTGTTTTGTGTAGTGGATATAGTGTGTGTATAGTGAATGCAGATTGTGTGTTTGTGTAGTGGATGTAATGTGTATATAGTGACTGCAGAGTTTGTAGTGAATGTAGTGCATGTATAGTGAATGCAGAGTGTATGTTTGTATCTGTGTATTAGATGTGGTGTGTATAATTACTGCTTATTGTGTGTTTATGTGTATTAGATGCAGTGTGTATAGTGACTGCAGAATGTATGTAGTGAATGCAGTTTGTGTATTTGTGTAGTGGGTGATGTTTGTATATTGAATGCAGTGTGTGTGTGTAGTAAATGCAGTTTGTGTGTTTGTGTAGTGAACACAGTGTGTGTTTGTGTAGTGAATGCAGTTTGTGTGTTTGTGTAGTGGATGATGTGTGTTTCTGGAGTGAATGCAGTTTGTGTGGTGGATGGTGTGTGTATATTAAATGTGGTGTGTGTGTTTGTGTAGTGGATACATTTTGTGTGTTTGTGTAGTGGATGCAGTGTGTATTTGTTTAGAAGATGCTGTGTGTGTTTGTGGAGTGAAAGCAGTTTGTGTGGAGGATGGTGTGTGTGGTGGATGTGTCTTTATGTTAAATTTTATTAATAAAAAAAAAAAAAGTCTAATCATTTTATTATTTCAAAAAATGTTTTATTTCCTCCCTTCCCTGTCTCTTTCCTGTAGCCAGGGAGGGGTACACTGGATTCCCTGGTGGTCCAGTCGGTGGCTCAGCTTATTGGGCCATCACACAGGGGCCCTGCAGTCTTTATCTTTCCCCTTCGGGCTCTACTTCTGTTACGAGACCGGCATGCATTGCGTGCCGCGGATCGCTGTCATGACAACCCACAGCAATGCTGTACAGCCGCGGCTCGCAAGACTGGGAGGTAAATGTGAGGCCAGCAGGGCCTGCAGAGGCATATATATACGGTACTTGCTATATATATATATATATATATATATATATATATATATATATATATATATACAACTTGAGGGGCTGGGGGACAGGACATGCAGAGCATTGGTGGTGCAACCCAGGCCCCCTAGGACCGCCGGGCCCATGACAGCCATTATGGTTGTCACCCCCTGATGGCGGCCCTGCTCTCTACGTCTTTTATGTCCACACACAGAAATTATTTTATATTCTGGTGGCAGTTTTCCAAAAAATGCAAACTAGTTCCATTCAAATACCCAGACTATATGAAAATTTTTACTCATTTTTGTCACACTGACCAAATGTTTTTTAGCTATTATAGCTGTAATTAAGAACATCTCTAAAATAATGCATAATAAGGTGCATAATATAATCTCACTATTTTTGGGTTCATTAGTATACAATTATGGAAATGTCTATGTTTATAGTTTAAGTTTTTGGTATTGCTGAACAGCAGTCAGGTATAGCAGTAGTTAAAAACCAAAGGGAAAAAAGTTACCTGCGCTCTCTCCTTAATCCCTATGTATATTTAGTCAAATGGAGATCATTTAGTTACTCCAATGGCAATTGGAGGGAATGCCCGCCTGCCAACATCAAGGCAGACCCCCCCTAAGCGAGTCCTACACTTAGGGGGGTCTGCCTTGACGTTGGCAGACGGGCATTCCCTCCAATGGCCATTGGAGTAACTAAATGACCTCCATTTGACTAAATATACATAGGGATTAAGGAGAGAGCACAGTTAACTTTTTTTCTTTGGTTTTTAACTATATATTGGGGCGGATGTGTACTGTGGTCGTTGCTGCCGCCCAGGAGTGATGGGAGTGAGCGCAGAACTTATCTTTTTGTATTAGTATAGCAGTAGGTTTATGTACTAGTTATTCATCCAATGTTTCAAATAAATGTTACGCTATTTTTTTATTTATTTTTTAAAGAGCAAGAATGTTTCCAGAGGTTGAAATGCTTAATGAAATAGTACACCTTGCTGTTCACATGAGATCCATATTTTAACAATTTCAATGCATGACTGCTTATAAGAAAATTTCTAACAAAACATTACTCAGTCTATGGAATGATTACTAAATAAGTTGGTGTAATATTTATGGATACGTTTATTTGCCAATAAAGCAGATATTTAGAATACATCTTTAAGCTTGCCCAATTAAATAAGGTTTAAAAAAGAAAAAAAATCACATTTACTGCAAATTTATACTTATTTTCTTCTTTGATATAATTTATTCATGGTTGCAAATATATGAAAGCATCTTATATGCAATATTAAAATATAAATAGTCTCATTGATAAACCTGGACATTTTTGGGGAGGTTTGCATTTTGTATTTTCTCTGGTTAGATCTCTGAATTCTAACTAGTCCTCAATGATCATTCTGTTTCGATTTTATATCTGTCCCTAGTTATACTAAAATTGTGAGTGGAATTGGTGGATGTTAAGGACTGGTCTGAAAAATGATCTTTGCTACCATGGGAACTATAAAATCCAGTTTCAAGCTTACATATGAGGATAACTACAATGCTTTTCAGTCACAGTGTTATTACCGCAGAGTACATCAATACTGCTTATTTATCATGATTTGTATGCACAGGACAATACTTTCTAATCCTCTCTGGAACTGAAAAGACAATGTTGTTTTCTTAGCAAGTTATATTCCATATATGTTCTGCATAGACCCTACGTTGTTTCCTAGTTGCAATTTGAACATGTATTCAGTATTTCCAATGCAGTAGGGTAATTTCTGGAGGTGTAATTTGTGTAATCACATAACCTCTTTCATTATTGATAACCTTAGAAGTCACAGAGAACATTTGTAGTTTCACAAGACGGTGGAGAGGTGTGAACTACAGATGGAGGTGCGATGGGGAAAAGAAGGACTTCCTTCTTGAGTTGAGTCTTTGCGGTTACGATCTGAAAGGATCAGTACACTTTTCTGTGGTGCTAAACCCTGAACGGGAAGCTTGGGTTTCCAGTGCTTGAAAAGCGGAGGAAGTAAATTTTGAAATGCAGATCGGAAGCGTCTAGAAAGAAGGTTGTAGATTATAGGATTTACAGCTGAGCTGATATAGAAGAAAATACCTAAAAGAAGACAAATGAAGGAACGTGAACCAGCATATTACAAATTAAAGTGCAATAGATATGAACGCTTTGCTAAAATATTGGAAGTTCAAGCACAAATGTTAAAAAAACATAGATGGGTTCAGTCTCTTTTCGTTTCTATTGTCTCATTTAGACAAATACACATTTCTGGCAATTGTCAAATGCAGTCATGAAACAACTCAGACTGGTGTGCTCTTAATTTTGTATTACATTTAAACAGATACAGGAAGACACATGTCATTATTATTTTTCTAATTTTACAATCTTTTTACAAGACATTCTAAATGAATGAATAGATATGAATCATGAGGAAGTCTGTTTTTTTTGAGAATTCAAAGGGTTTTATGAATCAAATTACAAAAAGGAAGTACAAATATTGGCAAACATAGTGTCCCAGATACATATATATATGTTGCAGAACCTTGCAGAATTTAGCAAAGATAGCTTATATATTAAAATCATGATTGAAATGTTGAAATAGTGATATATCAAATATGTATATATGCAATTTGTGATTTAGCAATTTCTATCATGTTGACTATGTGACCATTTCCCTTTAAAACTCAAAATGTAATCATTTTTGCATTATGTAAATTAATATTGTTACATAAATTCAATATAATGATTAAAAAACATTTTTTAATCTCCATCTCTGCTTTTTTCGAATTAGCTAAACAAGATTGCCATAAAAAATTCAATACTGATACTGGCACCCAAAAACAGTTTTGTGGTTTTTTTTTACATTCTTTATTTTAAAGTGCAGTGGTATAAACAAGCTTTGGAAATGACATATTACAGAAAAGAAAATATGATAAAAAAAAAAGAAGCAGGTATGTGCAATCAAGAGATGCTGTGTTTTTTGTGTGGTTTTTTTTTAAGATAACATTTGGTAATCAAGCTTGTCTAAATAAAGGTCTGGATATAGGAACACAAATATGAATAATATTCTATACATGTAAAAGTCAGGTAACATTTTTAAGAAGCATATGGTACAGTAGAAATTAACTAAATAGAATACCAGTTAACAAGTTATCTATACCAACATCAGCTTTAGCACCGCCAGGTATTCATTATTGGAGAGGAAAACTGTTTTGTTAATGCTGCACTACATAAATTAGGATTCTGCAAATTTCTTTTTTCTCTTTCATCATGTTTTACACTTTCTATAAATGTTTATCAGTTTTGTGTCCTTGCTATTCTTGTGGGTTGTTGTTTTTTTACTTCTTTTGTTAGCTTTAAACGGGGCTGCCAGGCTCTGTATTCACAGAACATTGTAAACAGAATAGTTTAAATAAATATGTTTATGTTAAATTTAAGACATTCTATCCATATAGCTTCACTTTCTCATGAATTTAATACATATGTAGCAATGTTCTCTTAAATGTGGTAGAATTTCAAGCAAAACACTGTAGTAGATACAGAACCAGCAAGAGTTCCCTTGCTGAGAATAACATTCAAAACACAGGACAAGATAAAGCAAGTGGATATATATATAGCACCAGGTACTATCAATTTTGGGTTGGAGTGCAGGAATTAGTCTTGTTTTGTAAATATAGAGTGTTTGGCAAGCACTCTGTCTATGCACCCACAGCATCTTAAGTGATTTTGAATGCTGTTTCCCCTAATATTTAAAGGGATTAAGGCTTCTAATGGAACTTTCTTTTGTATTGGCACAGCAAATTGCTTTGCTGGGAATACTTTGTTTTTAAAGCAACAGTATATAATTTTAAGCAATTGGAATAAAAGTTAATTTTTAATTTATATATATTTTGAGGAAAAATCTAAGCATATTTGGGAATACTACACTATATTGGTCATTACAATACGGGAATTATGGAGGATTTTCTGTCTCAGGCAGGTGCATGTTCTTCTCAGGCTAATACACTCCAATTCAGTGATGCACAGGCTGAGGAGATATTGTGGAGTACTTCCAGTCTGGAATTACCCACAACTACAACGTTACAGGATATATACTTTAAGCTCCTAAAGTTAAAAAAAGAAGGAAGTGGATTTGGATCTTCATGGAATTTTCCTTTCTGACTATCATAGAGCAAAACAAATCCCTAGAGGGTTTAGAGTGAGAAATATCCCTACCATAGGTAGAACTAAGGCCCGGGTTTGCAAAGATTGGACAGCAGTCCTTAATAAATGTTCTCTGGATCTTATGCTAATAACAATTCAAGATGTCAAAGAGGATTTAGTGGAAATTAGGAAAAAAATTCAAAATCTGGAAACCGAATATGCGCTCCAACTTAACACACAGGAGGGCAATAATCTAATTTTAAAATTAAATGAGGAAGTGATTAAATATAAAAATCAATTGATTAAGTTTAAAAGACAAAAAATGGAAAGGGTTCAGCTTGATTACCAAGAGTCCTCAGTCTATAGATGGCTTTCGGGGGAACATAAGGGAAGATCAAGAAGATTCCGTAAGAAAATAGTGAAACCGAATGTTTCCACTGTGGACATAACATCAGGGGAATCTGCGTCAGAAGGAGAAGGAAACCCAGTTGGAACATCAGTTCATTTTTTAGACGAGGGGCCTGCCCAAGACAGGATGAAACCACCCAGAACGGTCACACGGAGTATGTTCAAACAAGGAAAAGATCCAATACCCGACGTGGACAAAAAGGACTAGTCCACTGGTCCAAAAGGGAGACCACCGAGGCGCAATTCGTTCCCATCTTTAATTTGTCAAAACGAGAACTCACACCAGCAGAAACAAATATTCTGAGTAAAGGCCTTTCCTTCATTCTTACAACCCCTCCTAATGGTTTCCAATGGGAAGTG